TCAGGCCTGGCATTCCTTCGCTCTTCTTATCACTCTCTACCCCTTCAAAAAGGCAATTGATTAGTTTCAGCTTTTCCAAACCGAGATCCGATATGTTTCTCAGGATCAAACGTCTTTGAGAAGCCAAGAGAGTAACGTGGGGGATGGGGAACGTGAAGAAAGAAAACACGAGCAGGAAAGAAATTTGCCCTCCATCCAAACCATCCACACCTAAGACACCTAGAGGATGGGGGGCGGGGGGGGGATGGGGGAAGTGCCGCCCAGAAGATTGGATCGTGACTTCTGGAAGACTCACTTAGGATGTGTCTTCCCTTTCCGGAAGCAAATATTTAAAGGAGAAAATAGATATCTAGAGAAGGAGGTTGATGATTTATGCCTGGATTTTCCCTCCAAGCATTTGCCTCCCTTGTATTTACAGGCGTGTCCCCATTTGCAAGTTGTACATCTGTTCTCTTCACGTGACATTTCATAAAAGCCCTAACATCTGGGCAAGATAAACTTCCTTCAGGTACCTGCTTAACTTTTCACTTGTCGCACTCACGTCACCCCAGGCGCGTCCCTTCCCCCCCTCCCCGCCTGCCTCACTGGTGAGGTCTGTGGCACGCTTTGTTCCAGCCCCTTTCGCTGGGACCCCCATCCCCAGGTGGTCCCACACCGCCCGCTTCCCAGCGCCAACCTTTGCCAGGGCCAGTCTCTTCCGCAGACCCCCGATCCTTGCGTCTCCCGCCTCTGGTTCCACTGTGCAGGTGAGAGAGGGTACCATCTTGAACCCAAGGAGAAAACTCCTATTTCCTTCGATTCTGGCTTTAGACCAAAAACAAACAAAACAAAACAAACAAACAAAGAAACCTGCCTAATAAGCAGCAGGCAAACTCGCGCTTAGATTCGACCGTCTCATACACATCCATATATACCTCAGTGGAATGAGTAATAGGGAACAGCTGATTTTGATGATTGTCTTTTCGCTCTCTCTGGTAGATGTTTAAACTGCATGTTTTTTACAGAAACTTAATTTCACTTGCTCGCAAACTCCCCTCCCCCAAGAAGGCTGCCTTCTAGGATGAATGTTTTTAGAATTGCTTTTTCTTTTCCTACTCTGGAATTTTGTTCCTCTGGCTTCAGCCTAAATCGCACGCATAAGTACGAAGACACATCCACAAACTTGAGAGGGGGAAAAAAAATAGAAGGAAAAGAAAATAGTCCACGTAAACAAGAAAGACGGCAGGCAGTTGGAGGCCCTCGCTGCAGCAAACCCCAAACGATCTCATTGCAGGGCGCCCACGAAATCCCGGCTATAATTGAGTGTTTTCTTTGAGGTTTTCTGACCATGTGCTTTTTACCATGGTTACTGTGACTCTGATACGAGAAGCTGGATATTCATTATGATCCCGTCCCATCCCTTCCCCAAGGCTTATCTCCGTGGCCCTTATAAAAGAGAATATAAAAGGCGGAATTTTGTGCCAGTGATTTTAACCTGCCCCAGCTTCCAGTGACCTGCCACATGCTCCTTCTTACTTTATGGACATCTGGGAATTCCATACATGCCTTAAACTCCAATTACACACCTTCTTCAAAGGACACGTGCTTTGATTTGCTAAGAATATTAAGTGGGCTCACCTCCTGGGGCCTTGGGACAAAAGCGAATGGAAAAATGTATCCCATGCCCTGTTTACTAGGTCTATCTTTTGCTGTTCAGTAAGGATCATTCATAATCCTGTTTGCATTTTCGAGGTGCCTGGCAAATAGTGGGGTGATCCGCTTTCAGATATTATGAGGAAACCTATTTCTCCTTCCACTTTGCCGGTACCCTTTCCTTCCACAGTCGCCGGTGCTGGGGGTGGGACACGCTTTACGACACACCGGTAGAAAATTCTGGAAAAGTGGCCCGCGTGGATCCCTCTCCCGACCCCTGTTTGTCGCTAATGCGGTCCTGTCTTTGGAAATATGAGGTTGGGCCTTTGCCTGACTCTCTTGCTGCCGCTGCCCTTGCTACTGCTGACAGTTGGAGCTGCCTCCTCCGCGCAGCGGCCTGACGCTGGGCCCGGGGCTGGGGCCGTCCGTGCTGTCCCAGGAGGCCACGGACACGGTCACTCTCCCCACCGTGCGGCCGCCCGCCACCCACGCAGGGGAGTCCGGGCCCGCGCCCCCTCCCGCGCTCGCCGCAGGTGAGACTCCCGCTCCCCACGGAGTTCTGTTTGGGTTTCCGTGGCGTTTGTTCCCCGCAGGTTGGTTTGTTTTTCTTCAAATTACAGATGCAGGGAAAACCGCCTGACATCATGAGAGCGGGACAAACGCTCACTTTGAAGGATTCCTGGGCAGGACTTCAAGTGAAATCATATGCCTGAGGAGAACTTGATACCGGTCTAGAGAAAATAACCAGCTCTGAGTCTGCCAAACCGTGGAATGTGCAAAATGCTCTACTTTTTTGCAAGAGGCCAAATGTCCCTTAAAAAGCTCCATTATGAATATGAGCCTGAGGACCGAAGGAGCAAGAAGCTTGTGTCGGTTGCTGAGTGTGGGGGAGAAGTACACACGTTGTGTGAGTTTCTGCTCTTTGACGTTATTTTATTAATATGTTCCACTTTGGGGAGGGTACCTGCAACTGTGCATGAATTATCATCTGTGCATGTGCTTGTTAGCAAGTGTGTGCACAAAGAGGGGAAATGTGTGTAATGGGAACAAAAATTTACTGCTTTCTTATGACTGAAGGCTGTCAATCCAACGAAATTAAAAGCAAGATTAAAAAATTGCGTGCACAGTAAAGGAAACATTCAATTGTTTAGAATTCACCCAAGACAATTTAATACAATACTTTCCCTTCAGTGAATACACTCTGGCTAAAGGGTAAAGATTCCTGGGTCCAGAAATCGTATTAAATTCTCACTTCTGAAACAGAGTAATTCATCCTAAATGTCCTTTAAATAAGAATAGGTAGTAAAGATAAAATGAAATAAAATGAAAATAGGAAATATTGATAGAAACACAGGCGCTTCATTTCTATTCTAAAAAAGAATTGGCACTGTGGTGTGTATGGGGTGGGGAAGGTTGGGAATACAGATATAGTCTGGCAAGCTGAAAATTGTATTCTAATAGTTAATATTTTCCACCATGAATCCTTCTCATTCAAAGTAAAACTATTCACCACCTTTCTTTCATTCATTTATTTATCTGAAAATCTCGGGGAAAATATTACCTTTAGTATTTAGTATTATGCAACATAAATGTGGCATTTGATTTTCTTCCAAGTCTTTTCTCTTATATGAAAAGTGGAGAGAACAACACACACACACACACAAACACACACAAAGAAAAAAAAAGGCAACACACACAAAGAAAAAAAAAGGCAAAAGGAAGGCTACCTTTTTTGAAACTTCTAGTGTCTACATCATCAGAGGTTAAGATAGCAATTACCTTCTCAGCAACGATGGTCAGCTCCATTCTGATGTACATCAAGAAATCTGAAATATCAAATAGTCAGGCCAAGCTAGTAACAAGATTCCTCCATGAACAATTTAGAAAATGGAGGTGGTTCAATGACACACACAAAAGAGAGAATTACCATCTTGATGATCTCCCTCATCCTTCTAGGGCACCCTCTTTACACTTCTGCTCTACACACACACACACACACACACACTCCACAAATAATGTTTCCGTCTTGTTATTTTGTAAAGGACTATCAAAATCTAAAAAATTATTTCCCTAAGCTTTCACTAATCTTTTAATATAAGTAAATTCTACAGGCTCCTTATTGTAAAACATGGTCTAAAATACTCACAATAATAAATTTACAATATTGTTATGTCAGCATTCTATGATGTGTGGAGAGGGGGAAAAAGACCTTCAGGCAATATAATAACCTCAACCTGGGCTGAGCAAACACTATCTGTTTGGATTCATACACTTATTTGCCACAGTCATTATTTGAATTAGGCAGCAAAATTATTTGCCAGTTTGAAAGCATCCCTAATTATACTTGAAGGCAATAAACTGGATTCAAAACTTAAGAACTTAGGGATACAAAGTCACTATTTTTAATGTTATTCATTATAAAACCCAGTATTTTTTTTGGCCCAGAAATGACCAGAATGAAATTAAAAATCAAGCAACATTTGTCCCTGTTATTCCTTTACTTAACTAATAAATCAGATTTTGTATACATGTAAGTAACGAGGGAAAAATTCTGTGTAATTTTGGATAAAATATATTTGCTAATGAACTGACTAGAAAATGATAGCTATAGCATTTAAAATTGTAACTGTTCCAATAGTTACCGAAGATACTGAAAGTTCAGGTTCTTTACTGTGTTCTACTCCATAGCTGTATGTATTTTACTTTTAAAGAAGAAGCATGCTTCCCAAATGGACAACATCAACATGGGAAAATATTCTTAACTTTGGCTTGTCTTCTTAGCAAACTTGACATTAAATGTCATTCTCATTCATGAAAGAAGAGTTAAGCGAATTACTTTGTAAATGGAATTCTCTGTCATGCCAAATTAAACTTTATTTTCTATACATTTGTGTTCATTTATACGTGTGTATAGACAGGTAATTTTGATAACACTTTATGCATCCCTTCACTGTAATAAACCTATTATTTAAAAATCCTCATAAAGAGTAGAAATCATGACAAAAACAAAGAGAAAATAGTGCTGAGTTCGTAGTGCTTATTTGCATTTAACTGTTTTACAGCTGCCTTCTCAAAATATAAGCAAGAGAGGTGAATAACTCTTAAGTTTTTGCTGTCTGGGGACCTGATAAGAGATGAAGGGGAGATGCTAAGTCCACTGAACACCAACAGGAATAACGATAAAGCTGTCTTTCTAAATAACATGCCTGTACCTGTCAGTAACTAGTTTTGAGTTTTTCACTGCTTTGTTTATATTAGTGCTCCCTCACCCTCCTGGGTGTCTCCAGAGTTAAACAAGCAGGTTTTTACTTCCAACTTAATCCTTTAAAAATATAGACCAAACTTTAAGGTTCTGACAATTTTCAACCATATTTATTTATTGCAGAAAAATAATATACAAAGATATTTACAAAACAATCATAAAAATATGAATGCATTTAGACACCGGATCTATTTGCATTTTACCATGGGTCATCAATAAATAAATAGAATGTTGTTTTTGTATTTTAAGTTTTTTTTTTCCCTCAGAGGAAGAATGAAAAAAGGAATTAACTGACTGTGATTTTGCAAGTCAGTTTGATCCCAGTATTTTTATTTCTAAAGGTGTTCTTAAAATTCCTCTGATTGTTACCATTTTAAAATGGAGAAAGTCCATAATGATGCCTTTCCTTTCAGTGGCTGATTGGCACGACCTCTTGAGAATGCATGCATGAAAAAATAAAAATAAAAACATTCTTCGTCAAAAAAAAAAAAAAAAAGAAAAAAAAAAAATAAATAAGACTATCAGAATGTAGAGGTGTGAGGATGGTGCCGCTGCCCGTCCGGGAATCACTGTCCACGGGCCTGTCTCGCTTTCTCTTTTAAAAGTGCGCCCCACGCCCTGTTTCTTTGAATTTGGATTCTGCTCTTCTAATTTCCAAGAAAACCTTTGGCATATATATTTATTTTTAATTATCCAGCTCCAGAGTCTCTAGACTGTCCATTTTCTCCTTCTCTGGAAGCAATGACATCTGCAAAAACCCAGAGGGGGGAAAGTTGGTTATTGTTTAGGTCTCTGTGGCTGTTTTCTAAGACTAGTGAGCACTGTTCTTATCACCACCACGGAGAAATTACGCTGAACAACCTGGAAGGATTTCAGCCCAAGGGCAAGAGGAAGTGGGTGGGCGGAATGGAGGAGGAGGTGGAATTTGGAAACATTTGTTTTAAGGAGAACGAAAACTTAAAGCCAAAAGAAAGGGAGGCGCTGGCAAGACTGTCCTTATCCATGACCCTCGACTCTTTCTCCGTCTTCCCTTCTATCTGTCACGCGCACTCACGCACACGCACACCCCTCACAAGGGCGCATCCCTCTCTCCCTAGCGGGGACTAAGCTGCCTTCCAGGGACGCTCGGGAGATGAGGTGGCGGTGCCAGGTGGGGTGGGAAGGTTGAGAGGGAAGTAGAAGACGGGGAGGAAAGCGAGGCGGACAGGGAGCCGCGGCCCGGCCGTCAGTCGGTCTGCCACCTGAGCGGCGAAGGGGCGCAGAGGCGCCGGGTCCTTACCTAGGTCTCCGGCCCTGCCGAGGGGGTGGGGAGCTCCGCCTGCTAGTGGGACGCGGACATGGACCAGGCCCCCTCCATCCTCCAGACCGAGAAGGCGTAACTGAGCCGCTCGTGGGCCACATAGCTGCAGCTTGCCATCTTGGAGTCCAGCTCGTCGCTCTGTAGGACCTGGTAGAGGAAGTCGATATACCTGGCCGCCAACTTGAGGGTCTGGATCTTGCTCAGCTTGTCCGAAGGCAGCGTGGGGATGATCTTCCGCAGCGCGGCGAACGCCTCGTTCAGCGACTGCGTGCGCTGGCGCTCCCGCACGTTAGCCATGACCCGCTGCGTCTGCAGCTCCTCGTAGGATTGCGGACTCCCGCCGCCGCTGCTGCTGCCGCCGCCGCCGCCGCCGCCACCGGCGCCGCCGCCGCCGCCGCAGCCCGCAGACTTCTTGCCGCGCTTGCCTTGGGCTGGGCTGCCGGGCTCCTCGCCGCCTCCGACGCCCCCGCCCGCGGCCCCACCGGGCCCCGCGCCGCCCCCAGCGCTGCGCCGGCTGCTGCGCCGCTTGCGCCCCCCGCGCTTGCCGCTCGGCGGCTGCTGCCGGTCCGGCTCCTCCTCGCTGTTGCTCAGGCTGTCGTCGGCCGGCGAGACTGGCGAGCTGGACACGTCCTGCATCATCTCTCGGGCGGCAACGCGCGGCCTCGCAGGCCCGGGGCAGAAAAGCGGCCCGGGGAAGAGGAGGAGAGCCTGGCGCCTCAGCCCGCCAGCTTCCCTCGCGCACGGCGCCGGCCCGGGCGGTGCGGACCGCGGAGGAGGGAGCGGGAGGAAGGACAGGGAGGATCTCCGCGGGGAGGGCGCGCGGGGGAGGCGGGGAGGGAGGCGGGAGGGGGAGGGGACGGTGTGGATGGCCCCGAGGTCCAAAAAGAAAGCGCCCAACGGCCGCACGCACACCCGGCTCTGCCTCCTGGAAACGCTGCCGGTGCCGGCGAGCCCGCGAGGTGTCTGGGAGTTGGACGAAAGCTGCCGACTTGGAGGCTCTTATACCTCCGTGCAGGCGGAAAGTTTGGGGGCAGCAGTGTCATTGGCCTGACGTGGGGAGGAGGGACTTTTCGAAGTTTTATAGGAAAGTTTCCGTTTTCCAGCCCCCCTTCTCCTTCCCCACCCCCGTTCCTCGGGGTCTAACAATTCGTCCTCCCAAACCATTCAAAAACGACCTGGCCCAGGCGGCCGGCCCCTCTGCCCGCCTCCTTGCTGCCCTCCCCCTTCCCTCCCCGCCACCCTCTTCCCGCGGGCGCGGGGCAATTTCCTTCCGCGCCGGAGCAAGCGGGCCGCGCCCCCGCACCCGAGCGCAGCCCGGGGAAGCGGCCGGAGGGTACCATTCCCGCCGCCTTGTCGGCCCCTCCCGGAGTGGCTGTGACAGCAGCGGCGGCAACAGCTTCTACGCAGTGGGTGAAGTCTCATCTCGCCTCAGTACCCTCTAGGTCCGTGGCGCGATTTAGGACTGCTGGGGCGGGGGTGACTGGCAAGAATACCGGCAACGGCGGAGCCCACCCGATGGTCAGCCAGACGGGCCCCTCGAGTCCCAAGGGCCAAACCACCGTGGCTGGTCCTGAGGTCGTGGGCGTTTCTGAAGACGTGGCCGCGCAGGGGACTGCAGAACTGCGCCCCGGCCTATTCTCTCACCCTTCCTCGAGAAGCATCTGGGCCTTTCTGTTCCCTCCACAGTGTCTCGATCTGACGTTTCCCAACACCCAAAGGACTACACCTCCGAAGGTGCTAGAAAGAGGCAGACGTTCATTCTCCCGCGGAAGGCAGTCCTGTCCTTGGAGAAGGCAGCAGGGCCGGAGTGGGGCAACGCGGGGTCTTCGCCGCGGCCCTGATTGCCTGTGCTGCTAGCCCAAGGTGGAGTTCCTGTGGCCGTTTCATCCCCACCCCACTCCCAGATAAGGCCCTGCATTGTGACCTCTGAAGGTCGGCTCCGAGAGAGTGAGACGGGGGCTCAATATTGCCTGGACACGCGGGTCTGATGGTTGCGAGAGTCCCCTTCCCCACTCCACTCCCCACTCCTAGGAGGTCCAGTGAGCCTGTTCCGCGCTCCCCAAACGCATTCCAATCGTTTGGACACTGACATTTTAAGCGTTTCTATCTAATAAGTCACAATGAAGAGCCCCAAAGAGGGTGTTAATGTAGATTCTGTCAAGTCGGAAGCAAGAAAAGTTGGCGAGCTGGAAAGGAAGGGACGCTGCCGTGGACGAGAACCCCACCTTTTCAATGCTAGACTTTTTTTTTTTTTTTCTTCCTTTTTGGAACGAGTTGGCAGAGAATAACCGTTTCATGTTCATTCTTCAAGTTGCAAAGCAAACCAGAGGTCAAACGCAGTAGTTAGTTTTCGGGGCAGATTTGGGGGTGCGGAAGTTGCGTGCCCTGTGCTCGGGTACCCTGCTCAGGCCGAGGTCCGCTCACGCTCTCCACGGTTTGGACTCTAAGCCGAGAATTAACTTAGCTATGCTTCCCTTTCTGGGCCCGACCGAGGGTCGAGGCCCACGGTGTCCGGGGGAGGAGGCGGGAGCTCAGGCGACGCGCGGGCAGGCCACGTGGCTGTGCCCCACTGAGGCTCGCAGCTTCGGTCCCGGTCCCGGAAACCCCGGGGTCTGGAGCGCCTGGGGCCGGTTGAAGAGCTCAGCCTTCCAGGGGAAGTGAGAGCAAGCAGGATCCCTTCGCGGGGGGCGAACAAGGCTAAGCTTTCATGGAAGGGGCGACGTGCAGGGTTTGTCTATCACTATTCTTACAAATATTCATAGACAATGACCACAGCGTGCCAACTTGCCTGCTTTTTGAGTCGCTGCCATATTTTAAAATGAATGCCTGTCTGAAAATCAGATTCTACTTGACCTCCACTTAATCGTTTACAGTCAGGTCTTCTTAAAGCGCCCTCTGATAATTCACTTCTTAAAGCGCCCTCTGATAATTCACTCCTGTGATTGCATCTTCTGCCTATAGGATTTGATCTCTTGGAAGCAGTTAGAGAATAGGCAGAAATCATCTTTTTATCTTTTGTAAATCGGAATCGCGGAGTATTCCACAATTCTTATTTGAACGTCGCTGCAGGATTCTTGAAAAATTTCATCCTTTACCTATGTCTGTTTTTTTTTTAAAGATCAATCTCAAATCTTAATTTTGTTTTGTTTTCTTTTTCCCTTCAGCTCAATACTCAAAAATAAAGAGATCAAATAATTGGACTCTTTCCTTTGTGGCTATGGGTAAGCAAGACAGGAAAGTGTGGGCAAAGTGTAAAGGAAACCTTACCTGCCCAAGGGGAATTGGAGTTGGGGGCGGGGGTACGAGGATGGAAATCGGGACAGACGCTGGAGGAGAAACCGAGTCCACAACAGCGCAGCAGCCATTAGTTAGCCCGACTTGCGAAGTCATCAATCTCTAAGACTAGTTCTGTTTAAAGTGAGCCCAGCCCTTCTCTGGGCACTCAACTTCTAGGGGATAAAGAGCTCCCGGCCACTGAATACAGGGATCCCCGGGAGTGAGGCGATGCTATGGATGCAAGAATGCTTAAAACAGGGTTTAAAATGAATGAACTAAGCAGAACTACCCCGGGCACGGAATCTTCTTGATGGAGTCACAATGAATGACTTTAGTTCTGAGGAAAAAAAATTTCTCTTGTACTCTTCGAAGGAGTGGAAAATGAGGATGAGGGGTTTTGAGTATTTAAAAGTTAGTATTGAAAAAAAAAAAGGTAGTATTGAAGCAGAAGGTTGCAGCTTGCCAAATGAATTACCTCTCAAAACATCTGAGGCTTGATGCTCCCTACTTTGCAAACTTCAACATTTCCTGGCCTGATTGTCCCATCTGTATTCTACCTAACACTTTATGTAACAAATTTCTTATCCACACTTGCTGGGGCAAGAATAAAGGCAAACTCTCTTTTAAATGTGCTGAAGAGCCAAGTATAATTCTTGATCTTTTGTATATGCAATGATAATGGCACCTTCCACAATATTTGGTTTACCATGAAAGCTTACTTAGTTCTAAAATCCTAATTTCAGGCTCTTTAAAAGGGGTCTTAGGAATTTTCCTTTGGGGCTGAACTCAGCCTGACTTAAAGGACATCAGTGGAAGACTACCTTCTTTGGGAATACTGGATTCATTGGAATTAAATAATTTCATCTACTTCTAAAATAAATGCCCTAAAAAATTAACTGAAAACAAAACAGCTTTCTTTTGCACTCGGATAATTCAAAACGAGCTTTGTTTTCAAACTGCAAACTTGGCATGTTCACAATCCTTCCTGAGGAATGTGTGCTGTGTTAAAATATGAAAAAAAGAATACTGTTAGAAATAACACAGTTAGGAATCTCATACTCAGCATATGCAAAAAGTATGTACATATCTGTATTCTTATAGTAGGAATAGGCACTGGCATTCTCCTAGCAACATTTATACATACTTTTAGAGAAGGAAAAGAAACACATACACTATAGAATGTTAGCAAGCTGGTACATTTTGGAGTTGGGATTTGCACAAAAGGCGAGCACTTGAATCTGTTCCTACTGTTTCTCCTCAGTTTTTGGATGACTTACCACCTGTTTGTTGGCTTAGAGTTCTGCGAAATAATTTCTCTGGATTGCATGAATGAAGCACAGGAACATTCACACAGAAGGGGGCGCAGATTGGAAAGGGCTGCATTTGAGTGCATCTCAGTTGAGATTGTACATGTCAGATTTCATCTTGTTTTGAACACTTCACAGGGATTACTTAATTTGATATTTAAATGAGAGAATTTTATCAAAGTGGAATATAAAATTTTTGTCAGCAGGAGTGACTTGGATAACTATGTGAAAGCAGATTCTTTTTCAGTGACACAGGTAGCTTTAAGGATGTTTGTGCACCTTGCCCTAAAGAGGTCATTCTCCTCTTTTAATGACAGTTTAATTCATGAATTTAACTGATTCTACCTTTCTCTTTTTGAATTTCTTTAAGAATAGGGATCTAAAATTATGAAATTTGAAGCTTTCAATCCAGAAATAAAATGAAAAGTATAAAGCACAAGAACTTGAGTTGCCAAGAACACCTCAAATGAGCAAATCGAATATGCAAATTATTAATCTTTAAAGTATCTGGCATTCTGCAGTAAAAATTAGGATGGGATTAGGAGACATAATATGCCAAACTTGTAGGGAGAGAAGAATCAGAGTGTGGAAAAGTATAGAGTCTTCAAGAGTCTCCCCCCCACCCCCTTTATTACCTTATTGGGTATGCATGCTAGAAAGTTTGTGTCCCAGCTTTGCTGCCACTTAACCTTGTTGAAATATGCTCTCACTTATATCAGAGTTACTGGAATGACTGAAGAAATAATGTAAGAAATACACAGTTATTCATAGAGGCTTTTTATCATGGCCACAATTTTCCTACATAGTAATCATTTTTTCTCTTCTTTTTAATCATCTGATGATCAAGCAATTTAAATATAAGTTGAATGATTTACATTCTGTGTTTTTCCAGCTAAAGTTCTCTTTCTGATTACTCACAGCTTTCATCTCTCTTCACTTCAAGGGATTTCCTTTTTTCACAAGTGGCTTTTCCTGAAGCCTTAAATCCTATTTCCATTGTTTGGATTGATTCTTCCTGCAAAAACATGTTGTTTTTGCCAGTGACCACAAGAGGACACAATTTCCCAGAGAACTTTGTTGAAAAAGACACAGAAGAGGAAAGCTAACAAAATAGCAAAAATACTACACAATGAATGAATGTCATTTGGGGAATGTCTATTTGATTTATGTTACTTTTATTAATTTTTAAAAACATAAAAATGAGTTGGCATTCAGGCTTTAGAATTTTTGGAAGACTTTGTCTTTTTTCTTTATTGTAGAGCATACAAGAAAAGCATACATTTAAGAAAATACCGTTTTAACAGAAAATATTTATTTTACATTAGCAAATGTTTTTACAAAACAGCATTTTGTTCAAAGGAAAAAAAAATCTTTTTATATTAGCAAATTCTGTACAAAATTCTCAGTGACCTGGAATTCTACTTT